CATTTTCACCGAGCAAAAGGTCAAGCACCTGAACCCGTGGACGCTCCCTAGATTCATTTGTGGTGATGGATAACACTGTCATCCACATGTACAATATGTGTGCACAGGTGCGTAGTTGTACTGCTCTATCTCCCTCGGAATTTCCCACATCTCAACCCAATTGAGGTAATGTCTGGCAGGCTCAAGAGTTCGTTACAACGATACGCAAGAATGGTCTTCCCTCCTTAAGCTTGTGTTGAAGTAGGCGATGAAGCAATGCCTGCGGGGTGAGGAACACGGGGTGGAACTGGTTTAGCACTGCGGATATGGACCAGGGTGTAAACGAGGCCGCTTTCAATACAGACTCGTTTCTTCCTGAATTGAATCTAATCACTAGCGTGGTCAAGCTCTTCTACATCTTCCTCTGGCCCCTGAGGAGGCTCAAAGGAGGAATAGACTCCGCTCGGCAATAGATTGTAGTTGGCAATTGCGTAATTGTGCGAAACTCAAGTGAACGTCAGTGCAATCTCTCTCGACCCGCTAATCTGTACGTTGACCACGCCATACTCGCTCTTCGTCAACCTGCTCTTCAGCTAGCATAGCGTCGGGATGGTGAGCTTGAGCGAAGGAAGCAATGTCGGGTGGTGTGAGGGTAGAGCCCTTTGGCTGTCGGGCATGCCAAATTCACCAGTGAGTTCTAGCAATCTCCCTAACTTGGAGCTGGGGTCTCTGTGCTAAGTCCCCATCGATATAGTTTTCGCTTTTTGAATTCCTGAAGCGGCAGCTCCTTCTTCGCAGCAAGCACAAACACCTCATTTCCAAAGGGACAGGATTCTTTCGTGCGCTTCTGGTAGTTAGTATAGGCTGATGGAAGGAGTGGCGCAAAATTGTCTGCTGTTATAGCACCCCCTGTCCGTCTGACTTGGATCAATGAAAAAGCTTATGTCTGGCCTGGTAGTCTTTTCCAGGTAGTTCATCAACTATGTAGTACTCTCTGTTCATCCTTACTGAACAGAAAGCGTCGTAGCTATCTCTCTCATTATCAACGGAGAGTACGGGGTCTCTCACCTGCACTACTGTTCTACTGGACGTTGTGATTTATCATATTTTGACTCTTAATAGCGGACTGGGGTCGGCATAGCTGAGTGCTTGGACAATTGCCGTTGTCGAAGTGGGCATTCTTCCCTCAGCATAGGTAAAGCTTGCTGCTACTATTATTACGTGAATAACCCAGAGTATGATGATGTTATTTTGAGTATGCTAGCCAATTTAGATTTTTT